ATTTATAATACGTCGAAATAACGGTCTCCAATGAACATTTCTCCAAAAATTGACACGTTTCGCCCTTCATGCCTTCGTTTCGCCATAGTTCTCCACGCGTCTCTCCTGAGAAACGGAAAAAGACAAAAGACGGTTATCTATCAGTATTTTGAAATTCAAATTTATGTCGAAGGAAGGCTTCAAAACATTCCTTCGTCGAAGTGACCTTCTATATTTAGAAAATTTCTAAGTTTTGTCCAAGCATATCTCCTTATGAGAACCATTTTGACAGAACTTCACATTAACTTCTGTCGAAGTCCACCAAATTGAAGAAACTTTAATTTTGACTTAGTTTCTCAAATGAGAACATGACGTCGAAATTCTCAGCCAACAGAAACCTAACCTCTTTTTTAACCCCTTTAGCCTCTTATGTGTTTGTGTTTCTATAGATAGCCTTGACTTGAATTGGTCAATTGTGTTGATACTGATATAAATCAATTGTGAGTTCTTACTGTTTTAATAAACATTACATCCTTAATTATCTGGAGGATTAATAGTGTTTTTTTTTATGTAGTAGAACATTTGCTTTTATGACTTAGGCAACACAATTCGCTCATCATGCCTCGTGCTTATGGGATTGTATATTATGCTTATACTAACTTCTATGTGCTCAACTTCCTTCAGAGCTAAAGCACTTTATCCCTACACGCCTCATTTTTAGGGAGTTATGTATTGACATGCTTATACCGACTTCAATGTGTTTGACTTCTTTTTGATCTATAGCAGTTCACCTTACACGCCGTGCTTCGGAGATTGTGTACTAATATACTTATACTTATTTCTACATGCGCACTACATATTGGTCGAGCTAGGCATTTCATACATAGAGCCCGAAAAAGACTTCACATGGAAATGGTAGAGAGAACCACCCGAAATATAGGTAATGAGCTTGTCTAACCACTTGATCGACTTAGGTGGAAAGTGAACTAGACACTAATAGCTCATTTTCGGCCATAACTAACAGTTACGAGGAGTTTAACATACCGAAAATTAGTTTATGATCATTAAGTTTAGGCAAGAGAACATCAGCTAATAGCCGTCAGGATTTTTCTGAATGTTACGTTCATATAAAAAGATAGTAACATTGATTGACATTAATACAATAATGACTACATAACTATTAGGGGAAGGCAAGAAAAACAGTTATAATAGGGAGAGGGATAGCATAGATGAAGGAACAAACACAAAACATAGAAACTGAGACACTCTATACTATCAATTTACATAAGATACAGTACAATTTTCAAATACAATGTATATATAATCGGAAGGAAAAAAAACTAATTAACACCTTAACTTCGATTTGGCGATAGATTTCAGTATTTCCTTTTGATTTAGTAATGGAGAGAGGAAATGAAGAGATATCAACTCTTTGATTGAGATTATAAAACTGTGCTCTATTCCATAATAGTTACGCAGTGACAAATCATACGACTTTGGACCTCACGAAAATTTTAATGTCCGGCAGAGATACAGGCACTCTAGCACATTTTCATTTTGGCAGCGTGATAAGCAATTTCTTGATTTATTATCCGCAGTATTCAAATAAATAAAATAAATAAATTATTATAACAATTAGGATTCCAAATCAACCAATCATGTTTAACATACCTGAGAGACTTTCATTTTACATTATCATATAGTAGTAGTATTTCCGGTAGTTGATAAATCATCTTCCAAAAATAGTTAAAAATAAAAATAGAAACAAAGACGAAAATTCAAAGCTGACGACTAACAACAGTCCAAAGCTCAAGTCTTCTCTTCCACTTATCTAAGTCTCCTTCGTTGGTTCTCCTCTCTACTTTGCAATCATTAATATCATCATAGCTTCAAAAATTCATCAACACCCATGGCAATTCAACACTCTATGCTTTTTCTTACATTTCTTGTTCAATTCTCATCATTACAATTCCCCTCACTCGGATTATACAATCTCCAAGACACTTACTTCATCAATTGCGGATCAGATACCGACGTTACAGAAAGTAACAACGATTATATTGGAGAATCCAATCCTTCCTACCCTAAAACAATATTTACCAAAAGCTCCATAGAAACAAATCAATCAGCACTGCTTTCACCTCTCTACCAAACTGCAAGAATTTTCAATTCTGAATCTTCCTACGAATTCACTACAGTCCCAAACAACACCTACACGGTACGTTTACATTTCCTTTCAATATCTTCACCAACTGACCTTTCCACTGCAAAATTCAATGTTTCTGTTCCCGGTTTCTCTCTGTTACAAAATTTCGACGCCAAAAACACCACAAACTCTCCTTTAATTAAAGAGTATTTTGTCAAAATCATTCGAAAAAGATTCAAAATAACTTTCACACCTCATACATCTTCATTCGCTTTCGTTAACGCAATAGAACTCTTCATGCTCCCTATTTATTTTATCCCCGATTCCATCGCACGTTTCAATTACATTAGTTCTTATGGTCAAGCCCTATCTAGTTATACCGGTGGTTTACTCTCCCGAGCTTTGGAAACCAAGCACCGACTTAATGTTGGTGGCAGTGTTGTCGATAGAGAAAATGATAACTTGTCGAGAAATTGGTTACCAGATGACAGTTATATAACTAATCCACAGAACGCAAAGAATAGTTCCTTTAGTGGTGATATAAAACGCACTGCAAATGATGAATCTGATGGTCCAAATTCGAATAAATATATTGCTCCAGATGTTGTTTATCAAACTGCCAGAGAGAGTGAAAACGGTTCTATAGGTTTAAACGTAAGTTGGAGTGTTCCCTTGCAGGAGAATACTGATCATTTTGTTAGGCTTCACTTTTGCGACCTGTTAAACCCACAGACTGGTCTTACAGCTTTTTTTCTCTTCATTTATGACACTTATGTTATAAATATAAATGATGACTCAAGATTGTCATCTGAGTTGCATGATCCTTATTATTATGATTTTGTGGTTCGCTCCGATGGCACTGGGCTATTGAAGATTACTGTGAGACCTAATGTCACGGATTATGTACCAAACGCGTTTTTAAACGGTCTAGAACTAATGAAAGTGATTGAATCATCCGGTTTAATTCCCTTAGATGATTTGGATTCAAATTCAAAGTTTAGTCTTCCTGTGGTGGTGGGTTCGGCCGTGGGAGGTTTAGTTCTGGTTTCTTTTGTGGTGGTTGTGTTTCTTTGGATTATTAAAATCAGGAAACAAAGGCCTGTTGAGAATTCTAGTTGGTTGCCCGTTCGAGCGGCTGCGGGATGGAGTAGTCATAGCAGATTAACTGATGGAACAACAGTTCAAGGCTCACCTCTACCTAACATAAACCTTGGATTGAAAATCTCCTTGCTTGATCTTCAACTTGCAACGGAGAATTTCAACGCGGATAAGATAATTGGAAAGGGTGGTTTTGGAATTGTTTATAAGGGAGTTCTCAGGAATGGAAAGAGTGTGGCAGTGAAAAGAAGTGAACCAGGATCAGCTCAAGGACTTCCTGAATTTCAAGCTGAGATAATGGTTTTGTCCAAAATTCGTCACCGACACCTTGTTTCCTTAATTGGGTATTGTGATGAAAGGTTTGAGATGATACTTGTTTATGAGTACATGGAAAAAGGGACACTTAGAGATAGTTTGTACAACACAAATTTGTCTAGTTTTTTGACTTGGAAGCAAAGACTTGAGATTTGCATTGGTGCTGCTAGAGGTCTTCATTATCTTCACAAAGGAGCAACTGGTGGAATAATTCACCGCGATGTGAAATCCACAAACATATTGCTTGATGAGAATCTTGTTGCTAAAGTTGCTGATTTTGGTCTTTCAAGAACCGGTCCTCTTGATCAGCATTCATATGTCAGCACAGGTGTTAAAGGAACTTTCGGGTATCTCGATCCAGAGTACTTTAGATCACAACAGCTTACAGAAAAATCTGATGTTTATTCATTCGGCGTGGTTCTTCTTGAAGTGCTGTGTGCAAGACCAGCCATTGAACCGACGCTTCCAAGGGAACAGGTGAACTTGGCTGAGTGGGGAGTTTTTTGCAAAGACAAAGGGATATTGGAAGATATCATAGATCCTTCTATTAAGGGACAGATTGATCAAAACTCACTAAGAAAATTTAGTGAGACAGTAGAAAAATGCTTACAAGATGATGGCAGTGATAGACCTTCAATGGGCGATGTGTTGTGGGACTTGGAATATGCTTTGCAGCTTCAGAGAGGTGCAATACACAGAGAACCTCATGAGGATAGTTCCAGCAGTGCTTCTGTATCAATTCAATTGCCTAATGTTCGCCGTTTTCCTTCACTGTCTACACTGAGTGAAATTGATGACATGTCTATCGGGAGGGTTACTGATGAATCAGTTAATGCAGAGGATTTAGTTTTCTCTCAGTTGAAAACTGATGATGCTAGATAGTACTTTTCTGTTTTGTCCTTATTTACTTGTATTTTTTTACCCTTAGTTATGGTAGTTGGTGTATTCTCAATTGTAAGATAAATTAGTATGATGCCTATTATTTTTTATGCTTGTAATAAATTAATGATAATTAGGTGTATTATATATATCAGCTTGTTGCTCGTTTGCATTGTATGCTATTTCTGTATAATTTTAATTATATATAACAAATACATTCATATTTAAAAAAAAAAAAGTTAAATTTATTTCATATTAAAAAGGCTTGTTACTTCCACATGATGGTGACACCTACCTCAATTGAGATCAAAACATATAGTAACATTATCATGATCATGCCTATTTTATTGTTATTGTGGGATACATCTGTGTTATAAACCTTACATTGTTTATTGATTCAATTAAGACACTTAAGACTTCTAATAACAGTTAAGATACCTTATATAGACTTAAGTGACACTTCCCATATATATTATAGTTTACTTTACATTTACAAATAGGCTTGTTTATATGAATCAAACCATAAACAAGAAAATAAAAATCAAACCAGTAACAAACTAATCATTAACTGAAACATTATATGTTAGTGACCTGAACCTCTTCTGCTTGGTCCAGAAGTCATGGTATGGAATTGGCTATCAACCAAAATCCTGTTTTTCATCATCGTATACTCGGTGTTGATCTTCTCTGTTGTCATTGAAGCTTTGAGATGCTGAACGTCTTTGATAGGTTCATGACTGGTTTTTTCTGTCTTTGTTGGTGATTGAAGGATTCTAGAGCTTACAAAGCAAGGCCTTGTAGCGGCGAAAACTGCAAAAAAGACTAGAACTAAAACATAGAACTTCATTTTTATGGTACAACTTCAAGGTAGGCTTCAAGCAACCTTGAAGTACCTTGAAGTGTTTTACTAACCCAAAGGAAAGAGGTGGAGCTAAAATGATTTGTTTGGCATCTTGTGATGGGCAAGGCAAGTTATGAGAAGAGAGGGATGAGGCTTTTACATATTAAGGAAGAGGAGGGAAGGGGAAAATGGACGGTTGAGGGCTAATGCATTGTGTGTGGGGCCTATTGAAAGGAGTTGTTGACTCAAACTGTTTTTCTGTTATTCAAGTAAGGTCAAACCTATTGAAGTTATTATAGAGTCGCAAAATCTCAGTTTTTATTTTATTTTATTTTATTATTTTCTTTTTTACTTTTGTTGATGTGTTGTGTAAATGTGAGTTAGAAGTAGGGATACGAATACGTCAAACTGTCTAACATGATTTATTTAAGTTTAGTATGACATGTTTAATAAAAAAGTTAGACTTAAAATTTTAGAAAAAATTATTTCATTAAATAGGGCACACTTATACTATTAAAAAATATATATGAAATTCGATAGAAGTTTTAGTAGATATATTATAATTTTAAAACTCCTACTTTAAAATAAATTTATTTATTTATTATGTAAGCCTACCATTGGACAGCTATATTTGTAAGCAATTGGAGGAAATGCATAGAACTATTAAGAATTGAATATATTTCTTAGTGGGAAGTCTATCATGTTTAAAGAGCATTATAAAAAGATTTTTACCCTTTACTTAGTCTAAAAGAAAATTGTCTTTTTGACAGAATATGGCTAAGATTAGGAAATACCAAGGGTCCATGTCTTTCCCAAGTTTCTGGTGCATACACATTTAGCCTTAAAAGTGAGTAGCAAGATCCGGAAGTGGAGTTGGAATCAACAACATGCTAGCTAAGGTGGTGATTAACCAACGGAGTTTTGGCACTAGTTAACAACATCCTCACAAATTGCACTTAAAAGGAAAGATATCAAGATTCTCCAATTTATAAATTCTATGGATAGAAAAATAATTGAATGAATTTGTCCTTTCAAAAGGGTTATACTATTTCACATGGGTTTTCTAGGAAATTCTATAGGAAAATCTTTTTCTCAAGTTAAGAAAAAAAATGTGGAAAGTATCTTCAATTATAGAACAATTGACCCTTGTAAGTGTGTACGGATCTATGGAGAGATCAGAGATGGGAGGTGTGTGTGCCCTTAATTATTTTATTCCTTTTGTTCACTTTTTGCAATTGATGGACGACATAGGGTGCATCATAGTTCAAGATAGCTAGAATCTTCAATTGGTGGTTTCTAATATATATTATTTTTTTAAAAAAAAATATGTAAGGGTGTGGACTTGAAGAATTTGGCCTACTTGAAAAGAAATTGGGATGTCTACCCTTGTGATGCATTGAAAAAAAAAAGTCACGTTGAAGAATAATTATTTTTTGTTACTTTAAAAAAATCTAAATTAGCAATAAATAAAATGTCATGTTGAAGAATAATATATTTTTTTTACTTTTGGAAAAAAAACTAAAATATCAATATAGAAACAATATAAGAATGTCATTCAGAAATTAAATATATGAGGCTGGGCTTAAATCTGGAGCAACATTTAATTTATTTATATTTATGTATTAATATAAATAACTTATTCATATTTATAAAACAATAAATTATTTTGAAAAAATTAGTCTACCCTTGTGATGCATTGAAAAAAAAAATCTCACCTAAAGAATAACATTTTTGTTGCTTTTGAAAAAACAAAATCTAAATTAGCAAAATATAGAACCAATATCACAATGTTTTTTACAAATTAAATAAATTTATTTATATACAAACTGGTCTATAAAAAAAAGTAATAAAAATATTTTTTATAAACAAATTAACATGGAGTATAAAGGGGTACTTTTACCCTTACATCATACAACCATGACAATGTTTAGCAAAACAATAAAATCGAGTAGAATAACATAACCGGTCATAGAAAGATACTCATTTATAGTTTTTTTGGTTCTAAACTTTGTCAATATCAAGTCAACAATTTGTTCCTATTAAACATATCTTTTATGTATCATGCCAGTGAACAATACGTTGTTTCGCATCTTCTAAATATTGCACAGGACTGCCAACCAACAACTATCATTGATTTTCATCTTCAAACTACCCTTCAGTTGGAGTAGGGATCTACTGAAGTGTTAGAGACGCAAAATTTGCCTCAACAAATAACACTCCTAACCAATTGCAGGTTCTTCTCCACACCTCTTTACTTATGCTGCATTGGAAGAACAAATGGACAAGTTCTCATTTTTAACAAAACAAAAAACACGACATCTATTATTCCCATCTTGGATAATATTTCTCTTTGCTAGTTGGCCGCGAGTCGGGAGTTTGTCAATGAAGATTAAAGGTGAGAAAAATATACACAAGAAGGGGGGTTGAATTGTGTATGAAAATGTTTACTTCTTTTTCGTAAACTTGTTTTAGAACTTAAGATGTCAAACTCATATTTGATCCAAATAAGAGGTTGTATCATATCAGAGTCTGACTTCAGGGTTTGTTACACAACAGAATATTACAACAGAAGTAAATAAAGAGACACATAATATATTCTGGTTCCTCTCAAATGAGGTAGTCCAGTCCCCTTACATCATAAGAGATTATTATAATCATTCAGATTACAATTACTTAAACCGACAACTGAAGACTTCTTGCTCAATCAAACTAGAATGAGACTTCCTTGCTTAAACCATAGGTTCAAGACTTCCTGCTCAATCACACTAGAATGAGACCTACTCGCTTAAACCCTAAGTTCAAGACTTTCTGCTCAATCACACTAATTGAGACTTTATTGCTTTGCCCTCAAGCATGAGATTTCAATGCTCAATCACATTGATCGAGACTTCCTTGTGAGTGCAAATTTCCGTTAGATATATTTTGAATGATGTCAAAACGAGGATACTTTAGCGCTAATGTACATTGGATAGTATCCTCTGATTCTATATGTGCATCTTAGCATTAGGAAGCATTAAAATATTTTGGAAAAGGTTCATACTTCAACAATGCATTAAAAACATAATTTTATGAAAAGCATTCAGTATGTGTCGACACATAGAATCTTCAAGTTGATACATAATAAGAAAAAATTTCGATGTGTCGACACATAGAACCTTCAAGTCGACACACATGTAGTATGAATAAAGCCTGTAGGCTCTGTCCATGTCCTGACTTTTTTAGGTCGACACAAGATCTTCATAAGTCGACCTAAGACCTTTAGAGGTTAACACAAGACCTTTATAGGTCGACACATAACTTTCATAGGCTGACACATACGATGCATTTTTCCAAAATTCACATTTTTTTCATTCTTTTGCATTCCTTTTGCTTCCAAGCTTGCATACATATAAATACTTAATACATGCATCATTTCTAGGAAGGTTCTAGAGTAAACCTATACAAAATCGAGATTTCAAAGCATTCCCATCACCTTCAAACTCGCTTCTATGCATACACACAATCAAACTACACATAATCATTTTTTGATTGGGTGACCATCTAGATTAGGATTGATAACGTCTAATTAGGTTGTTGTACCGAGAATATTGGGTTGAGAAATTTGAGGATTTTAAATAAGAAAACCGAGTTGGGGTTTTCATTCAAGTTCATTGAAGATTTGAAGGTTTTGGACAAGATCACACAATTCGGATCCGGTCGAGTGAAAACCTTGGGGAAAGAGGTGCTTTGCAAGAGAGTAGCGTGAAACTGTGGATCGTGTTGGTAAATCTTGGGTTTCAATAAGTTTACGCTTGGGATTAATTTAACTGGGTGAAAGCCTTAGGAAAAGGAGAGTCTTGCAAGAAAGTATAAATAACAAGTGAATTGAAGCGACGTTGTTGGTCAACAAGTGTGCACTTGGGATTAATTCAGTTGGGCGAAAGCCTTGGGACAAGGGGTTCCTTTTAAGGAAGTAGCAAGAACAGGTGAATTGAAGCGACATTGTTGGTTACTTGATCAATCTTTGATTAAGGGTTGAGGTGGATGAATCAACAACAAACCTATGGTTTTTAGGGTTATAGTTCTTCATCTCTTGTATACACACATTTGCAAAGTAATATATATTATACTACCTCAATTCGAATTTGAATTCAGGACAGACGTACCCATATCGAGCCCGATTAGGAAACTTCCTAAATAAATCCTTGCGTTCTCTCTCTCTCTCTCTCTCTCTCTCTCTCTCTCTCTCTCTCTCTCTCTCTATCTATCTATCTATCTATCTATCTATCTATCTATCTATCTATCTATCTCTTTTAAATTTGTGTTAGCAAATTATTGAATTCGTTATTCGTTTTATCAATTCATTTGGGAATTATTTTTGATCACTTTTTGGTATATGTTTTGTTAATATAATCATAATTCGTTTGATTGTGATTAGTTCTTAAGATCAACAAAACTAAGCAAATTTCTAAACGATATCTATTGCACATAAAGTATTCGATAAATTACTTTATTGTATTTTTGTTTATTTTGATAATTGGGAATAAGCTCTACGTATAGCTTAACATTCAATTGTTTGTGATTATTTGGTTGTTGAACAATTTGTGTTTATTATCATACATTTGTGTTCCTTTACGCATATCTGAACTTTTCGATAGAGGTTCGGTTGGACGATTCGATTCGGGTTGTTTCCGTTGTGCCATAAAACTTTTCAAATTTATTTTTGCCAAAAGTTTTTATGTGTGATCTATTCACCTCCTCTAGAGCAAAACTCATCGTATAAAAAGTGGTATCAAGAGCTTCGGTTAATTTTGTGCTTAAGATTTTCTTATTAGAAGAACGGCTTCCGAACCTAAGGGAGAGTACAATAGAACACCAATTTTCACCGGTGAAAATTATGGTTATTGAAAAGCTTTTATGCGTATTCATGTAAACTCAATTGATAAGTGTATATGGGACGCCATCGTGAATGGTCCTAATGAAGTTACAGTGACCAAAAATTGAAGGTGTTACCGTACCTAAACTTG